TGGTGGCGGCAGAGGTGGCAGTTCTTCTTCACTAGAAGAATCTTCAAATTCCAAATCCCAGAAAGTGGCATAGCTTCTCTTCAACTGAGGCCTGCTTTCGGCAGCGCCCTTGTCATGTCCGACTGGGGAAGGCTGCACCGCAGCGCTGTCTTTTTCGGTTTTGCTTTTTGGATCTTGCTCCGCGCAGCCTTTCTTCACAAGTGGTGGATCTTGATCAGAGAGAGAACCGATACAAGGAAGAATAGCCCCTCTTCAAACCTTTGAAGCCCTCGTCGTCAGCAACCATCTTTTTCTCAGCGGCCACCCTGTCTCCAGCAGCCATCTTGTTCAAAGCTGGTTCGAAGGTGAAAATCAAAATGTCCAATCACACAGGGTGACTGCTCTTGAGCCCAGTGCTGGTATCTGTCTTCTATTGAAAAAAATGCCTGCCCAGCCCACAGCCCATTCCGGTCCTGTCAAACTGCCTCCAAGCATCGCATCTGCTCACCCATACACCGGAATACTTCTGCATCTTTTCCGGCGCAAGCATTGACCCAGTACCTTGGATTCTGCGTTGATGTAGGAGGCATAAAAGATTGATATATTTTGGCCTTCCAACGTTGAGCTATCTTCAAACGGCTCTTCAGATTATATACTCCAGATTCAGTAATCCTGCTGCCAAGTAGCATCCTCGAATTTGGCATTCCAAAGGCCAACCCGCAGGCGGCTTCTCTGCCATTTCCACAAAGAGCCCCAAACCCCAGCGTTGATTGGTCAACGCCCCCCTCTCTGGCAACCAGAAAACAATGATAGACCATGTACGCAACAAAACATGCCAGTTAAATTCCTATGATCTTTCAATGCAAGCTGTCAATGGCTAATGACATCTACTAACTGTCACATCTATCATGGTTGGTTCTCTTTCTTTGCTTCTTCACATACATTCACTACTCCTTTGGCAAATAGCAGCGGGCAAAATGACAGCAAATTAATATAATATGATGAACAATTCTTCAGAAATTATTTTGCAGTATAATGACCTATCCTTCAGAAATTATTTTGAGGTATAATGACATAATCATCATAAATTATTTCTAGGTCCTTGACCTATCGTAGGCATAATTATTTGGAGGTCCTTGTGCCTTTTTGATGAAAATTATTTTGCCATACCCACCACCTGAAATTAATTATTTCCATTGACATTCAGGGGTTCTAGGACCCCACCTCTCTGTAGAAATAATTTTAAAAATTATTTTTAGAAAATTATTAGGAGGGGTCACCCTATACTCTTTAATAATTTCTGAAGGGAGGGGTCATCCTTCACCATTGGGATCTTTGAGATTGCCACCAAAGAGTGTGTAGCTTCCATCACAGGTCTTTGCCCAGGAGAAGCCACGAAACAAAGGGCGATCTTCTACGCCCTCAAGCAGCTAGTTCTGGATCAAACTCACGTTGGCATCTCCAATCTGCAGGTCTGGAAATCATGGACTCCTCACATGGCCATGGAGCGGTACCAGACCTACATCAAGATCTTGAGCTTGAAGATTTTGAGATGATCCGCCCACTGCTTTTCATGGCTCACCTTCAACAAGAGGAGGGCATGCGCACCAGGAAGGCCCTCAAAAGAATTGCACAGGATCGAGCCCGTGAAGAGGCTCCCACGGACTTCCTTGCTTACCAATCGATGAGGACCTTGGAGACATCCTGGTGGTTGCAGCAGGGAGGATGGATCTGTTGCTTCGTGATTCCAACCACTTCCTTCGCAAGAAGGCGGAACTCAACACTGAGGCTAATCGTTGGTCCAACAGAAGAAGGATTTAATCGCATTCCTGCTCCAGCACCCTGAACATCAAGGTCACGAGTGGCAAGCACATCGCAGCGGAGCCATTTGTGGCCAGCGAGTACATGTCAAAAGCATGCTACAAGAGATCAAGGAAGCCATGAACAAAGAGTGCACGGCCCACATCATCGACAAGCCCGTGAAAGCTCCAAGGATGACCATCATCCAACAGCTCATAGAAGCACAGGACAAGCCGCAAGCTGGAGTCCATTTCCTGAGACTCGAGAAAGCATATTTGCGCTGCACCCAATGCCGGGCATATGGCTTGCCCGTACGAACGAGCAGACCTTCGAGGCCTTTGTGGGAGAGACGTGCCACAGCGGACCGATCCCTCCGGCCGTGTGGAGAGGCCGTGTGGAGAGGCCACAAACCCACACGATGCAAAGGATGGGCATGGCTGCAGAATGCTCGAGATCTCCTGCAAAAAGCAGGATCGTGGACGGCGAGGTCCTTTTGAACAAGCGCCTCAGAGAATCTTGTTCCAGCAGGTCACAAGACCTTCGGCTGATGTTTCGCTAGCACGCTGTGGCACTGGAAAAGGCCGTGCAAAAAATATACATACACCTACTTGGACCAGTATGGAAGGAAAACGACTACCAGGTGACATTCCATATGTTGGTGATGTCACGCCCATAAATTAAAACGTTTTACAACCAAACCAAAAGTGAAGTTGGTGACCGGAATCTGAGGATCTCTCATGGTGAACCGTCAAAGTGGAGATGGTTGGGCTCACCTGCCAAGTGATAGCCAGCCATGCTGGAGACTCACCTGGACCGCCATGGAATCTCATGATTCTCGTGACCACCGCTGAGCTCGTGAGGCGGCCAAATCCAATTCATTCCGGTCTTTTCGAGAGCTTTTAAAGCATCATGTGTAACCCTGAGAAGTCTGAATAAACGTGATAATGCTACGGTATCGTAATAATATATCATCCTTCCAAAAGGCAGGTCAAAAAACATGTTACACCACCAGCCCAAATGTCAAAACCGAGCACGTTTCCCAGCTTATGTTGGTTGCCCGGGGCTTGCCCTGGCTTTTCAGAGACACCGTCCTGGGCGTCCTTTATGTTGTCGCGGCTGAAGAGTAGCAAGATTCTCTTGGTGATCCGTTCCCGAGGCCCTCGTCTCAAGCCAGCCCTTCTGCATAGTCGAGGATGGGCAAGGTGGCAAAAGGAGCACTGATCTCCTTTAGGACACCCGACTTGAGTCCTAAGTCATCGGACTCGAAAGGACACGAAAACGACGAAAGGACGTCGTGGGATGTGGCCGGTTTGCGCAACTGCTGACAGAAGCCGTGCACCAAAGAAAACGGTTTGTTCAGGGATGATCCCCCTCGGGGCGTGCGAAGCCTAGAAATCGCAGCCCTCGGATCCTCAGGTCCTATAGAAATCAGCACCAGTCCTTAATGGAACCCAGCACCTCTTTAGGCACTGCCTCGACAATAGGCAGTGAGATACCTCACACCCCGCCAAAGCTGTCAAATCCAAAGCTTTTCGTCCTTGTGTTTCACCTGCCACTTGTGCGGATCAAGTCACTGGGCGAAGACGCAGGGTTGACACCTCTCATGGTGGGCCGACAGGTCCGCAGAAAAGGAGGAGTGGTCCATCTGGATGGGGTCTCCACTTGAGATCGGAGGTGGAAAAAAACAAGTGGCAAGTCTTTCAGATTCCTTGAGAGCAGTTGTTGCAAACCTACTGTGTCTTCTGTGAACCAGGAGCCTGGAAGAACCCAGGCTGCGACACCGCGGTTTGGCCTGCCGGTTGCATGGCCCGCACTGCTGTCTGCAGTGCTCGACGCAGAGTAGCTACGGGACTTCTCCACATCGCTTGGCCTCCAAGCGACCTGCTGGTGCTGCTGAGGACACGGGCACCATTTCGTGTCCAAAAAGACGGGTGTCCTGCCCTGAATTTGGTCGTTTCATGTCATCCTCACCCATTCGACCCGCTTACATGGGAGAGACTAGTTACTTGGCAACCGACCACTAGAACCAAGCTGTCCATTTGGATGGTCGGTCTGTCTGCTTCTCCAAGAAAAGGAGACCGCAGAAAGCCCAAAGGCGAGGCGAACGAAGAAAAGTCACCGAGGGACTCGAACGAAGGGTCACACCGAGGCTCGGGAGCCCACCGACCGACAAAAGACCTAAGAACTCAACGGGCCTAACATGTCACATGTCATGTCATGTGTTGCGCCATGGTATGGAACCGGTCCCCGTTCCAGCCACCAACGTGATGTAAAGATTCCATAGTAGATTCCATGCCTGATGGGCGTGGAAGAGTGACATAGAGTGACCCTACAACAAAGACTTTGAAGGGTCGTCGATGGGTCAATCGATGAGTGCGAGTTCGCCTACGCCTACAGAGAACCACTCGAGAGAGTGGGTCGTCGTCTAGCGTGCTCAGTGCTCATGAATCATTTGTGGTAATTGACTCTTGATTTATACACCCCCTCAATTTGAATTGAAACACCTCTTCATAGGGGGGCTATTAATCAAGAGTCTACATTGATCTACATTACTTATTTTTGGTACTCAATGTGGGCGCAAATCAACACCCCTTCAGATCAACAGGACTCGCTTGGCTCACCATGTGATCCCAGCATTCACCTTTCAGCCGTTGAGCCGTTGAGTTGGTCCACCACCCCGCGGGTGTCATCGAACGGTTCCCGCCTCCGCCTCGACCAATCCCGATCTGATCATGACGTTTGGAGCGGACGTCTCTGCTTTCGAGGGAAGTCGCCTCAAAGTCGTCACTGGCCCAACGGCGGAAACCTCGCTGCGCTGGCCAATGCCACCTTAAATGTGCATCCTTAAATTCACCCTCTAAATAGAAGGTCTTTGAGCCAAATGTCATCATGTCAAGAAATTGGACATGGACAGGTCACGTAGGGGATGTGAGGACTGCGGCAGGTTTGCTGTCTGACGTTCTGTTAGCTTGTCAGGAGGCAATGCTCAACGAAGAGAATTGAACCACCCCGACCTCCACCGGAGCTGAATGGGAAGATGTTTCATGATCTTTCTGAACTGTGCATCTCTTCGACATCTGGCTACATCGCATGGAATGATTCAAAACCATGTGGCCCAAAAGACCGAGATACGCGAGTGGCGCAGCCCTGCCTCCTTGGGCCCTGGTTTCACGATGGTCCCAGGGTCTCCGCCCCACCCCACGAGTGGTGGGCGGCCGGGCATAGTCGCCCGCGGATCGTTGCTGTCCATTGGGTGCGACGACGCGCAAGGCTGGAGGCAGGCGCACCTTCGTGGCCGCCTGCGTGGTGTGGACGATTCGAAGGAGACCGGACGAGTCGGAACCCAGCACCCTGGTGACCCTGTGACCCTGCCGTGACCTGCACAGTCGTGAACGAAGGTTGAAAAGGAACCAAGTGCAGCTCACCCCTGACCCATTCGTCGGACCGTTTCTGGCCACACTGGTAAGCAGGCAGCTCCAACTGGCAGGTAGCGAGGTGACGGGGCCTTGAATCGGAGTTCCAGTCTGAGGCATAATAACTTATCATAAGTCGAACAGCCAAATCACCAGAACCAACCCTCAAAAGCCAAAGCACATGTATTCAACTTAAACGTCTAGCTGTTTTCTGGACCTTTCTTTCAAGGTACACCTGGTACTGTTCTGGACCCTCCAGTTCCCCTCACCACCATCTCAGATCACGTGAACCGTGGGTGAGGCTCATCAGGTGACACCCAAGGCCGACCAGGGTGGAGGATGGGACGGCGCAAGCCGCAAGCTGCAGTCCCCATTCGTCCGGTCTCACCATTCTTTGAGCGTTCTTTGAGGCCAGAATTATACCCAGACACGACTAATGGGACTGCCATATATGCCGATCAGTTGAATTGGTTTTGGGGGTCAATGTAGGCATATATGCCAGTCCCATGGAGTGTTTGCATTATATTTCTATGTTCCATACTTCACGGGCATTCTTTCACCACTTAAGGGAAGACTTACAGTGTCGACTCGACTACAAAAGATCAAGCATCCATCTGTTTTGCTAGAGCATCTCCGAACGCTCGCCCCCACATCGGAAAAACCACGACAGCTCCAGCGGGGCTGCCGGGCGCGAGCGGCTCCCGGCCATGACGACGAGGGCCGAATCCTCCAAAAAGTGTTCACCGTGCAAACGTTCCCAAACCTCGGTCTTCGGAGCGGCTCGACGACACGTGTCCCGTCGACCGCGGTCGGGTTCCAAAACAACCGCCGTGTTCGGACCCCCGCGATTCGGGGTGGGGTTTTGGGGGGCGCGTTGGGAGCAACACCGCGACCAACGCGTAACACCGCGACCAACGCGTCGCAGGAGTTCGGTCTAAAGGTTACTCTTTTCATCTCTTTTCGAAGCATGGAGGTCAGGCAATGGAGATCAGTGGGATTTGTTGGGAGGATTTGGCACTGTTGGTTTCATGTTCCTGTCTTCTTGCTCCCGTTTGGCGTCCTGCTTGTAAGTGCTTCTAGAACATCATATAGCTCATTGTTTCCAGGGAAGGTGTCATGGGAAAAGGGTCTTCCACACTTTTCTCGTGCGCCGGCGTTCAAACGCTCTCAGAGTAGTTAGCTTATTATATTTAATTCATTATAATTCATTATATCATGCTTTGGCATTTGGGATGTTGAAGTGGAAACCTTACACTTGTAGTCGTGCATGCTCACAACAATCATAATCACATACTAGATACAAAATGATTCTGAGGGTTCACCATTAAAGTTTTAAAGCTACATTTGTGAATTTGTTGCGGAACTCAGTGCAAACAATTGGAGTACACAACTGCTGCTATGCAAATTTGTGTGGCTTGTGGCTTGTGATGATCAATTCTTGGCCACATGGAGAGGCCATGTCGCAGGTGTGTTCGGGTCCATATGGGTCAATATTCAATGCATACCAGGCTGAAGTGGCTCACACCGGGGCCCCGTAGATACACCATGATACACCCACAAAACCCGCTGATGACACGAATGCCTCAGCCAGAATATCTGGACCTCTCAGCTGTGATATAGAGTTACCCTCAGACTCTTCCTCACTAACATGAAAGTGGATAGATAGCAGGGTCCCTTCAAAGACTACTTTCCTTTTACACACAGTGGGTTCATCCACTTCCATGTGATGTGTTCCTCGGAGTAGATCATCATGCGCCTGCCGGACGCCAGGCCGGACGGACTGAGTGCCCCCCGAGTGTCCCGGCACCTTTCACTTGGTCCGGTGGCACCTGAAGCGGAGCCGGGAGTGGCACCTCAACCGGCGAATTCAGCCATAGCCGGTGCTGTGGCCGTCCAGGTGACAAAACGTGGTGGGGTGGGTCATATGAGCAACAGAATTCGACGACTGAGGTGAGCCTGCCACGGGTTTTCATGGTCTCCCATAAACCCTCCCACTTGCTCTCATCGCTTCCTTGGTGGAACCGGTGACGCCTTCGCTCGGCAAAGCTCCGAGCTCGACGAAGGATCGACGTTCAGGCAGATACATATATATATATATATAGGCCTAGCTATATATGTCTATATTGTATCTGCTTCTGTATTGCGGCGCACCCATTTTTTCATTTGTCCGTCATGGACACCCGTTGCCGAAACTCAATACCAATCATCCAAATCCAAAGCCGGCCCAAAAGGATTGAAACTGCCAGTTGATGGTATTCATCTTTTTCTAGCGCACGATGCTCATAGGGGTAACTCCTCACAAACAAAGTAACACTAAATTAAAGGTTCTTGATGGTTCTTGCAAAGGGAACAGGAAAGCCCTTCGATTTCCATGTTGCACTTTTTGGCACGAGTTTCATAGAAAGGATCTGCCAAAATTTGATATAATCGTTAACATGGATCATTTGTAATTCCCGAGTTGAAAAAAAGAAAACAACGTAATAATAAAGCAAAAGCCCTAGGGCTCCAAGTACCTTCGTTTCGAAGGTGTTTGGGGTGGGTGCCAGGAGGGAAGAGCTATCAAAGCATCAAGGAGTCAGACTGGGCCCCACATTGCTACGGACCCGGTGGACCCGGGCCGCACATCCGTTCACGCCCGGCGACTTCGCTCACCGCACCGTGAACTGGGCGAGACGGTGAGTGAGACGGCGTGTCTCGTGAGATACTGAGTTCCCCCCACGCCGCCGTGGGAGGTGCGGCAAAAGATCTGGCCATGGGAGCACTTGAAGGCCTCAACGGCCAGATCCGTGTGAAGAATGAGCTCCAAAGCAGGTTCAAATGAATGACACGGAGAGGTGGTGGTACAGGAAACGCGGGATAAAACAGCAAAACCTTGAAACTGATGTCTATCTTTTTACCTCACCCCCAACTCTGATTTCTTTAGAAGAAGGTGGGGGATACCTGGACCATCCTGTCTGGGTATCCCATTAAAGGGATCCCATCAAAATCCCCCTAAGGTAGTGGGCTGGGTTCAGTGAATGCTCGTACTCTCTCACTCAAAGCTACGCCCGGACAGCCAAAATGGGTGTGCAAAAACTGGAAAGATCCGGATTTTCCGAATAAGACTCAATAAGCAGGTGAACCTACATCCAGGTGGTTCGTTCCGGGCTTCGGGTACCTCCCCGGTCATCACCCCAGTCACCCGAGTTGGACGACAGAAGGGGCGGAGTTGGCGGCGGAAGCGCCATGACTGGAAAGCTACGACCTGAGAGAGTGGGCCCGGAAAGGGGCCTGAGACTGAAACTCAGGGTGTTGTGGTGATACGATTCGCATCTCTCATGGTGAAAACAGATCGCCACTAGCCTTTCCCCTCCAAGAGTGCACAGCATCCCTTGTACATGGCCCTAGAGTTGAGTTCTCTCAGCTGCAAGAGTTTATGCAGAAGGTGGAGCCCAGGGGCAGAATTCCAACCATAGGATCAATCATTCATTGATTTGTTTCGACTTGTCCCGGGAAGGAGCACACTGGGATCACCTGGTGCATGCAGGACTAGTGGGAAAACAACAGTACAAGATCAAGAACGATTGGCCGGATTTTGTCGTTCAAATCGTTGAGTGCATAGAACCATGGTGCCAGGCTTCGGTAAGGACGGTGGCACCCCATCCATCCCGCCTTGTCTTTTGCCTCACGACCACCAATGATCCACATACCATTGGCACCTGTCAGCAACACGTGTGGCGGACGGGACATGTCAGTGGAAATGCTGCAACGTATATGCTTGTGACCGTGACCCCCAACCATTAGTAGGGCCGAGTCTATGTCCCATCTTCCAAATCGGTTTCAAAAAGTCGGTCTAACAAAAGGTCAGTCAACACTTGGGTCGATCTCATGTCCTCAAAGCTGTGCAACTTGGAAGTCCACATGTCCGAACCTTAAAGCCGGAGGAGCATCGCCAGCTCGAGCCCTTCCAGCCGACCCGTCCGTGAGAGCAGAATCCCAGCTCCGCCCTCCGCCTGAGTACAGCCAGAAGTTCCCGGCTCTTTGCTCCCACACCTCAGGTCAACCCATGGTGGACTAGCGACGTGCTGGTCTAGACCGGCCGTGTGAGAAATCACGGGGGTACATTGAATTTGAAAACCCTTCACGTCTCTCAACTCCTTCCTCCGGCCACTCAAGGCACCCGGCTGGATGGCCATTCGCAGTCTCTGAAAGAATCACATACTCTCCCCCACACTGCTGCTGGCCGTTGGGGGACACCACGAAAAGGCGCCTCGCACGATGTCCGTCGTCCGGCAGAATTTTCGCGCCAAGGCAGCTGGGGCGCCAGACACTCCAATACTACCATATATGTGAATCATACATATAACTCACCTAGACATAATAAAACAATACAACATGTGTAATGATGTATAATGTGTATATATATATATAATCAACATTGACCTTGGGCACGGCATATCTCATTATATACAAGAGCCCCGTGGATGATGATGGTTAGGATTGGTTAGGTTGCAAATCCGTCTCAAAAAGAGTATACTGGTAACGAGGTACACCCTATATACATTGACCCCTTTTCACCCACATCTTCCATGCATGGAGTGTCTGGTATAGCAAGTACTGGCTTTGTCTGGCGCTACTGTACATGGCTCTGAAGCAAAATCACGGTACCTTGGTTGACCTACCTTAGAGGTCGTTCGCTACATGGTGGACTGGTCGGGCTCCAGGTTTGGATCCATCCTCACATTCTTACTGTGGTTTGTGTGTAGGCGGCACAAACCCGGTTTATATGGACCCATATGGACCCCCATCTCAAAAGACATCTCTCTGAACCCACTGTATGCAGGCTTTCGGGCCATCCACAGTGACCTGATAAGTCACTAACCGAGGCCACAGCGATGGCTTCATTCGAGAGAAGCTGGACGCATCGAACGCTGCTCCTGGCTGGAATGACACGAGAAAAAAGTGCATAATACTTCCACCCCCTCTCCCCTGAAAGACCAATGATTGAATCCACTTGAAGCATTTAGTCCGAACTGATTGCATCATCCGCAGTGATGAGATGTCTGTTTCTCTCACATCCCCGTATGGTGTTGCAAGGAAGAAATGTAAGACAACACCAGGATGAAGTCCTCTTGACGATATTTGACGATAAACTTTCCCAAAGCAGTACACAGTACATGTCGATTAACATACAACCCCCCAGAAACTATTCAACCGTGTGGTCAAAGGCTGGGATTCTCTATCATCTGCACCAATAGAAGCAACAGGACTGTTCCACGAACTTGAGAGAGGAGGGGGTGAACGAAAGGTAGCAGGCAATCACAAGTATCCCTGGTAGAAGTCCATGACGGCGTGAACCGGCGCAGGGGGGATTTGATCCGGGGAGGGGGGGCCCCCCCCCCCCCGACGAACAGAATCAACTCTTACAGGACCAAATTCAATGCACAATCCCAACTCCTGATTGTAATACATTTTTGCTAAAGCAAGGAGAACTCAGGTAGCTCAAGCTACCTTTCGTGACAAACCAAACAGTCGACAAAAAAATTGGCTCTCAAATTCTTGATTCGTCAACAAACACTAGGCAGAATGGTTTCATGTCGTTTCATGCTGCACCCGTTTCCTGCATTTTCCCGAGAACATCCAGTTCTAGGTTGATGTCACATGGTGTGGTGTGCATCCGTGATGACTTCGCTCCGAACTCGGTGCAGGTCATCGGAAATCATGTTCCCCATTTCTGTCAAACAAGTGTTTTGTGACAAGTGCCTACGTCAAAATCTTTGGATGCTTTGCGGCGTCGAGGCTTTGGAGTTCGTGCCCTCCTGAGGAGGAAAACAACCGAAAACCTCTCCTCCTTCAGTATGAGAAGCGCAACACCAGCGCGATCGTGGTTTTGCCCAAGGCAACTGCAAATCTTGGTGGTGCCAATTTCATGAAGACTTAAAAGAACCTGCAGTCTGCAATGTCCACAGCGGCTTCTTGCTGGAAGAGGTTCACCCTAGGGCTTTTAGGCCAGAAAGAACCTCAGAACCGATCATTGGACCCTAAAGAATCCCCAAGGCCCATAGATTAACCATTTGAGCCGAAGGTTTTAGGATTATATAGTGAACACATGGACTAGTTGACTAGGTGTTTGTGTGTTCCATCTCCAAGACCTGATGGTTTTCCCATGTTTTCTATTGTTTTCTTGGGTCTCGTGCTCAGCTCTGACCCTCTCTGGATTGGAAGTTGGTTCTGCTTCCTCTGGGTGCCTTCTTGACCTAATTACAAAGGGCTTGAAGGCGGCGATGGACCATGCAGCAAGCCATGAATGCTACGAAGCTTTCGTCAGTTCACCACTTGTTCCAGTGGTTTCTGCCTACGGAACCCAAATGGAACCTGCATGGCCGGTAAGTTTCTTCCACCATTCCTCTGGAAACCAACGGTGGTTGCCGTTAGGCGGATGGTTTGCAGACGGTGAGAAGTCACAAGCTACAAGCAAAAGAACATGGGATCTGGGCTTGCTCTGAACTTGAGAAGGTCATTCAGTGAGGTGTGGTGCTCCTGCGAACGTTTCTTGCGAAGCTGGACGTCCAGGTCCGATGACGTCTCCAGCCGTAGACCCGGTGCCCAGAAGTCATCTCTTCAACACATCGGGCTTTTTTGTCTCACTCTCGGGCCAAAGCACACTTGTTGCCTTGGAACCCGGGCCAACCCGAACCGATTTCGGCGCCGAAAGATAGCCGTTTCTGGAAGACCTCGTGGGTATGGGGCTAATTCCACCGGCTTTCACCACAGGAATTCTGCAATGAGTTAATTCAACGATGCTTGAAAAGGAGTAACACTGCTGTTGCTAGCCACTAGCCACTGGATGTTTTTGTTCAGGTCTTATACCAATTGCCAATGACCAAAAGGGTCTTTCTCCTCCCGTTCCTGTCCCGTTGCAGCTCCAGGTGCAAAGGAACTCATCGCACATGAAGGACGATCGGCCGTTGCCCCCTCGAAGTTGGCCCAGCCTCAGTGCTGAGTTAGGCAATCCCGCGGCCAAGCTGTACGTGCCCTCCGTGCCCTCCGGTCGAACCACACTTAAGCCTATAGCAAATTGCTTGAGGCGAAGGTGCGAAGATGTACAAAGGCAACAAAAGTGCAAGCCTCATTTGCACGATGAGACCGGTGTACTGGGGGGGGCCAGCTGAGATGATAATCAGAGGGTTAGAAATGAAACATTACATGTAACATATTGTAACTATATACAGTACAACTAATGTCTGCACACTGCGCTGGAGACGTGTTTAATTCAAAAGCCAGAACCGTTGTTAATGTTAGTTGTCGTCTATTGAGTGGAAAAGGCCCCACAGCCACACACAAAATAGAATGGACTCCTGGCCTTGGCATCAAAGTATTCGGAATGCTGTGTGGGTCGGCCATTGGGTGTTCAGTGTTTCCGGTGTTTCTTCAGACATGTTAGAGATGTTCAGTGACATACAAAAGTTTACAAATGCAACAGTTCTTTGACCAGTTCTTGGGGGGTTAGATCAAGTCAACTGCTTCTCAGCCAACTCAGCAGCCAACAGACTTTAAAAAAGAACACAATTACTTGTTTATTGGTAGAGGGAAAGCACGTCTGAAAAGGGTGCAAAAAAAACATTAAAAGTGTTCTGGGGCGAAAACATCTGACAAACCCCATGCAGCATCATGACAGTCATCATGGCGCCCGTGAGAAAACATGGGAAAATCCCATCCCATCATCATTTTTCCCCATGTTCTCCCCCTATTTCTCAATGGACCCTCTGAGAGGGCCCTAAGGGTCGCCGCACCTCTGTGGCACCTTGTCCTCACAGCGCCCGCACCTCGGCTCCCCAAACGACAGAGGTGCCGGAATTTGGCACTCCAGGGCTCTGCAGCAAAATGGCAAGCAATCAAACTGTATTTATAGATGTGTATATATATATATGCACATGTATGTAAGTATATACATAAAATGTATATAGAAACACAATAATATAGACTATACACCATGATGCACTATGCACTACAGTGTGCACTACAACTAGCATAAAGCGGTAAAATGGTCATGTTTTGAAGCACTTGAACTATTGAGAAGCAGGTGCTGGGGCGGTCATTGAAATCTTAACTACTTTGCACCTGTGGGGGGTTGCAACATTCCGAAGACCAGTGAGCGATGGTGAGGGAACCCCGCGATTTCTTGAAGGATTTCAATGTTCCACAGAGTCAGGCAAAAGCAAAACAACAATCAAACAAAAAACCGTCCAACCCACTGTTCTCACCATCCTGCTCTCAAATGCTCTTGGATTTGATTAATGTTCATGAATGTTCTTCTGTGCATGCTCTCTACATCGACAAATCAACACATTTCTCAGCAAAGACCGACCTCACAGCGAAGCCGGAGCTGTCCCGTCCGCCGGTCGTGTCCGACTGTCCCACCCGGAACCCGGTCTCAAGAACCGGTGAACCAACACGACCGGTCACTGGACTGGTCGATGGCGGACTGGGCTTGGCCGACTGGACGTTGGCTTGAGGGTTGGGGAACCACAGGTTTTCTCCCAGAGGTCTCCAGGAGATCACGTCAATGACCTGCCCGAGCGGCGAGCGTCTCACGATGCGAGCGTACGCGCGATGCGAAAGCGAGAGTGAAAGCGAGGCGCGGCGGAGGAGAGAGGGCGAAGGCATTGTGACATGGTGGGGGTCGGAAGAAGAACCACCTACTACAGTATAGACTGGATCTTATTGATAAATGACTTAAAACATCCCACATCAATGTACATCAATGACGAGGTTGATCGATCCAACTGGCGGGAGTTATTCATCAAAAGTCTACAAACATCATTGAGCTGGCCCCCACAGCTCCCTGCCCCCGGAAATTGGGAGATCCCCCGATGCCCCTGGTGGGGAAAAAGAACGCATGCATAGCGGAGATCTTTGCATGGCCAACCGGAAGGTCATGGATACATCGATTGTTGGCATTAGATATGCATAATCATGTTACATCCTTTTCATTCATGTATCAGATATCGTGGTGGTGGAGGTGGACCGACATTATATTGACCGACATGCTGGCAGCTTCCATGGTATATGGTGAGTCATCGTAGCTCGTTCTTGGCCGCCCGATATGAGCGCCCGCCCTAGATGGAGCTGACTCAGCTGCCATCAACTGTCAGGCCAGGTTAAAGAATGCTTATAAGAGAACTCGGTCATCTCATTCATCTCATTGTGATCCTAGGTGTTTCAAGCTTCAATTAAATTTCGAACTCAGAATCCTGGCCCCTCATGCATGGCCCGCCGTGCTACTATGTGGTGTGAAGCACCAGTTTGCCTGCAAATCAAATGCTCGCTCCCCTTAAAAGCCTGAGTTGGAGCACTCTACACATCCTACTAATAGTAGGTGGGTTGAGGATGTCAAGGAAAGACTTCACAGGTGCTTGTGGTGCCAACACAACAAGGACCATCCAACTGCCGCGGCCCCGAAGCAAACGAGCCAGTCAAAGAGACCCCTTTCACGGATGTTCTTCCGCGGTGCGGAAGAGACAAAACACCGAGGCTTCAGTGGGCCAATGTCTTCCAGAACCAACGAACGATGGCCGAACACCCGCAGAACCCCCCAGTCCTGGAGAGGATCGCTGTTGATTTTCACTCGGCACCCGCGAGCCCCTGGGAGCCGCGCGGCCGGTAGGGGTTCGCCGGCGCGGGCGAAAACACTCGCGCCGGTCGAGTCGAGCGGCGGCCTCAGCCTGGTGGAAGAGGGTGGAACTCTATAGGTTCTATTTCAATCTCCCAAGCCTGAAGAGGTGTAATATTCCGAATGGTAGGGGGGTGATTCATCAAGAGTCTACGTTATGAAATGGGTGTTTTCAGGTACCAAGATCTTCCTACTCGAGTCGAGTGGTTGGATACTTCAGTGCCAATGGAAGTTAGCCCACACACACCCAAAATCACAAAAACATACAGAAACATCCTTCCAAATACCTCTTTTGCAGCACGCCAGCAGCATACTTTAGCACTTCCTCCCCAAAACAAAAATCGACGACTCCCCCCCGGCTCCGGCTCCGGCTTCTTCGGCTCAACCCGCTCCTCCACACCGTCCGGAAGCTCTCAGGATCGGTGCCGGCAGCTCGTCGGAGCTCGACCTTGACAGGGGCGGGGCCGACTCGGCCTGCTGCGGGGAAACACCAAAGGCGGGGAGAGATCCGGGGAGAGTCGGGTTTTGGGGGGTCACCAGTGTCCCACCCAGCTCGGGTCTATCCAGCTCGGGTCCAAAACCAGGACTCCCGCAGAGTGAAGAGAATAGTACTGCCTGAGAGGTCGGGGCCCCGGGTGCCATGACCCACAGCCATATGGTGGGAGCCTTGTTTGTCCTGTCTCTCCTCCGACTCCTATCAACCACAAAATAGGAGGCAAAGAGGAGAAGGACATGGAAGAGTGCACACAAAGGAGGAAGTCTAAGAGGAAAAACGATAGGACATGATATGACCAAACAAAAGAAAAGGGAAGAAAACGCATACAGTAAGGGGCAAGGCAAGAGGCAAGGAATAGGACAAGGACAGAACAGAAAATAGCAAAAGAAACAGTGGCATCAAAGGCACGGGTTGTAAACAGGAAAGTTAAGGTAAGCAAAACTAACAATTGCAAAAAACAAACATCTTTATGCTCGGCATGGCTCGGCCAGTCGCAGCGTTCTTGGATTACATCACTTGAGTGCTCGTGCTCAGAATGCCTCCGGCCGTCCTTCACGCTGCGTGCCTGACCATTCCCCTTCTTCCTTCCCTCCTATATAATTCCTAATCTGCTTCTTCCCGAGTCATCAACCTCTGCAGCCTTTGGGTTCCCATGGCATGAGGGTCGTTGGCAGCTCTCCCAGTTCCACGGGCTGGCAGCTCTCCCAACACCACCCCTGGCTGTCGGTGCATCCCTTGGGTGGTTCTGCACCCACCGGCAATGCCGTGTTCTACAGCACCAGCACTCGCCACGTGCCTTCCCAAACAAACCTGTTCTTTTCTTTTCCCATCCGGATCCATCCGGTACAAACGAAACATGTTCAGGCAGGGGCGCTCTCATGATGTCCAACCTTGGGGAATTGCTTGTACACGAGCGGGGGTCTCCGGGCATCCCGTCCATTGATCAACCAAAGGGCCATCGCTGTGACTCCGGCCATCGAACTGAGGTCTCCTCCCACTGGGCACTCGACTCCTCTGGTGGAGATGTTTGCTTCTTCAGAACCTGAGACGTTGAGTCGCCCAACCGATCGGACAGGTGGCCCCCGCCCCCTGACCTCCCTCGAAATCGGCCGGAAGACCGAAATCGGCCGGAAGACCGAAGCTCAGCCGACACGGGTGAGGTAAACCATGTCCCAGCAATTCTTTGAATGATTCACCCCCAAAAATGGCAGAATTTCTCCTCTGCATAGATCAAGAAACCTGATAAGTACCTATAAAAGTGGTACTCCACTATGGGAGGGTTTATATACCAGGTATATACCAGTTATATACCAGGTATATACCATTATTCTATGGGAGTGGTACGGGAGTGGTATGGGAGTGGTATAGGGAATGTAAGTCAGTGGTATGGAAGTGGTATGGGGAAAATCCTTATAGGAGTGGTATGGGGAATGTATGGGAGTGGTATGGGAGTGGCTGCCAGGATGCTTTGAGTTTGAGCAGATGCACCCACGTGCATAATTCTCCCATAACTTTATAGGAAAAATACATGTCTCCAACTCCTTGTACCTATACTGCTCCCATGCACAGGTACCAAGTTTGCAGGTACTTAAAACTTCGGTGGAATAGATGTCTACTGCAAATCCGAGGTTGACATTGGTCGATGATTCGCTTCATCTTGGGGCTGAAGACCAGGTGTCCCACGCTTGTCCCTCGCTGTCGGGGGTGTGTCCAGCAGTTTCAAGTAAACATGATTTTTCTATCTCTATATCTATCATTACCTATCCCTATTTCTATCCGTGAATCGGTCCATCTATCTCTATCTATCTATATCTATATCTATCTAAATCTATAACTATATTTCTATATATATATATCTATATCTGTATCTATATCTATATCTATCTACCTACCTACCTACCTATCTCTCTCTCTCTCTCTCGCTCGCTCGCTCGCTCGCTTTCGCGTTACATTCATAGATTTATAAACAAACTAGTGTACACCGTACACCATCGGCGGGCCATATCACCTGCAAACTATGGCCTGCAACAATACCCACAAGAATCAGTCTTCTAACGATGATGACCATTCTTTGGACATGTTTTGGGTGTTTACGGTTTATAGATGTCTGCTTTGCTCCATCCACACATTAATTAGCATGTAATGTGTTCTTTATGTCCCAAGGACAAGCCAATGGATGAAGCTCCCAGGATCCCCTGCCATTACTAATGAATTACCCACATATAATTACCAGTACATCATATATCATATACCCACCAAATCTGCTCCTCTCCCTCGTCCTCTGTCCCGATGAAGAACGACCACACGCGTCCTCTCCGCGTTTCTGCCGCGCCACGTCCGACTCGTCGCCGTTCTGGCCGTTCCGCTTCTTCTCCTTCTTCCCCTGGCGGGAGACCGGTGAACCGTCGAGCTCAACGTCGAAGCGGTGAGGCTTCGGTCTTTCGGCTTCGACCGCGGCAAAGCCACGGTCGAACGGCGGGGAGGCTTCGTCGGACTGTGGTGAGAACGTCTAGTCTTGCGGTGAGAGAATCGGTCTGCCATCCAGGTGTAATTGGTAGAGCAACTGGATCGTGCAAAGGAATTTCGATGCGTTGCACCTTACCTAGACACATTCATGTCGTGTCTGCAAGCAGCTAATAGTAGTCCACGACGACAGGCTGCCTCCAGCAACATGGAATTAACGAAAGAGTGGATTGCACCAATCCCCGTAAACTGATAGATCAGCGGGCAGCTCTGGCGGGCACCTTCTTCTCAATCTTCTCCTTTTTGGCCCTTTTTGTATCTTTCTTGTCTTTCTTCTCCGCTGGCATCCTCTCCTCTCTTCGGCCTGAACCCACGCGCGCGCACGCTTCCCTCCCATAGGCCAAGCCCTCCGAGAATCAAGGCGCGGGGGGAGTGTGAGCAACAGGCAACATACACTCCCGAAAAATCACATAGACTTCCGAAAATGGCACACTGACTCAGTCTGACTGTTATCCTCTAGCTGCATCAGCGCTGCTTCAGGGTCTATGTGAGTTTTCAGTGGTCTTTGCCCCTTCAGTGCCCCGTTGTTTTTTGGGGCTGAAAGTGTGGAGAGAGATGGATAGAGACAGGACAAAAAGGAGACCCACCAGTTCTCATAACTATCAAATCACATACTGTACATATATATACTGTATGTATGTATATACCTTGATCTTCCAAACCCTTTAAAAACGTAAGGTGCAAGCAAATACACGATGTTTCGAAACAAAACACGATGTTTTCATTTTTGGAGGGTTGTGGGTTTCGACGCGCCGAGTCTTCCGCAGATCCCTTTCCCGGTTCATTCCCAATCCCTTCTTCGACCTGTGCGATCCATTGAGTTCGGACCTGAGACTTGCTGAAGCAAGTATGCAAAACGTTCAAAGAACTTGACGAAGTGCACCAACAACCGCCAACAACAACATCACACCAGCAAGCGTCCAAAGGGAATCACAATGGGCGGACCAGAAATCCAGCTGAAGTGAACTCGTGAAAGGCCGCTGTCAAATACCTTTGCATTGTCCGCTCAAGGGCTGGCTTCATCGACGTGACCCGGCGGCTCAGCCGACTGCCACGGCCTATGAAATCTTCGTCTTGCTGAACACTTGTAGCCAGAGGGTTCAAGCTCTCAATGCCGCGCTGCGAATCGTCCCATAAAGTTATCAACATGTGGTGAAGCGCGTGGTGTTTGGGTTGGATTATAAAAAGCAAACGGCCAGCCCTTTGCGCCTCAAGTGCCAGCTCAGAGTATCGTCTCAAAAATCTCATGCCTTCATTGGCAATGAGGCCCGCAGAGGCTGGTTTCAACCAAAGCTGTTCGGTGTATAAGCCACGCACACAGGCTTGGATTGCCATGGTCGCTTCTTTCACAAGCTGCAGGAAGGGGTCAGAGCTGAAGTCCGATCGTTCACAGATGGACTCGACAAATGACATCAAAATTGTCGACAAGGCCCCCTTGTGCCAAATGCCGGTGGGATACACCGTAGTGGTTTGCCAACCCAAAAGTTCCTTCGAGATCTTTGTAGAACCTCTTCTTTTTTTCGCTGTGATGCACCAAGTCTGAAATTTGAGCGACAGATTTGAAAATCGTTCGTCCACGGTGCCTCCTTCCTCTTTCTCAGAAAGGAGGGCCAACGCTGAACCAAGGAAGTTCTTGGACACCCCTAGGTGGTAGCAATGAAACCAATCCCATGCCCACATCAGTTCCAATCGGTCTGGAACGTGCAACACACGCCTGAAAGGAGACTCTTCCAGAAAAGGGCTGGACTGACAAATTGTCCCTTTCCAGGCTGGCCGTCTGGTGCTGATTTGTTCCCAGGAGACCGGGTGGACGCCTGCCATGCACTGGTGGCATATGCCACCTGGAGGCTGACGAACCTGCTTTCGTTTCTGCACATTGTTGTAGCTTCTTGCGAATCTTCCACTTTTGTGCAAGAATGGCCAATCACCGATAATGTTGAGGAGGATGGCATTGTACCGATGCCCTTGTGCATCCAGCAACCCAATGTCGGACATAAAGGATGCCTCTTCGGCAGCTGCAGACAAAACATTCTGAAAAACACCGTCGTTTTCTCCGGTGTAGTCACCCTTCCTCAAAGCCGAGAACATATACCTGGTCGTGAACGAGTGTCCCCGGAAGTTTGTTTTCAATTTCAGCCATTTCTTCCTAATGCCACGTCTCTTGCCAGCCTTAGCCTCAGGATGAAGTCCTCGTCCAAGCAATGAACGAAATGATATGATCATGAAGGCATCTCTCCTTCTGCCTCGACCTTCATCTCCATGCAAAACTAAAGGAACAGTTCGTCGGAGATGGATTCTTCCCTCTTGGGAATGCTGAAAAACAGGATGGGATGGATGTAGTATTCTGTATTTTCTCCAGAATGCCTCCAATATATCACCTTCCCTCGATTGATCACGACGAACCAACCCTGTCAAAATGTGCCAGCAGTTGTGCGTCAAGAAGAAAGCCATCCAGTCTCGCAGCTTCAGGAGAGGCACTGTGTGACCATTGTCTGTCTTCAGGTGTGATATTGGAATTGGTAAGGCCAGAGCAAAATTGCTTATGACGCGGCGAGAATCTCTTTCAGAGTTTGTAATCCCGCATCGAGCAAGTTCTGATAAACCGCCGCTTGCTGCTGCTGCTGACGTCCCTATATCAGCAACAACATCGCGAGCTGACTCAATGGCCGAAGTGCATGGGGCCTCGGCCGACGAAACCGGAACATCAAGTGAAGCAAAGCATGAACAACAAACAAGTCTTCAACAGTGTGTCCTTCCTATTCGCTTGTGTGATCAATGCAAACATTCTTGGAGCGCATTGTGATTTGCAAACCTTTGTGAGACTGCCCAACCAAAAAGTTGAAGAACATTGTTTTTTGTCCACCGTGTTTCAATTGATTTCCCAAACGCCACACTCACTTGCCCGCTATATATTTGTTGCTCGAACTGCTGCTCTGAGGTGTGAATGGCATGGCCCCGCAACGATGTGGGAACAAGGCGAAACTGAGAGATGTTAATCCCTGCTTGATTAAGTGGTAGGAGACCTGGTGGAAAGAGCTAAACGCCACAAGATCCTCAAACTGACATGGCTAAGTCCAAAAGACTTTGCAGCGTCCTTTTGTTTTTGCAGCTTTGCGTGGAGCGACGGGAAGGTGATTATAGATTGTTTGTTGTTCATTGTTTGTGTTTGTCTAAGTGAGTCATTGTCTATCAAAGACGGTAAGTAGTGGTTCCGGATTTAAGCCGAGTTTGACAACGAAGAAACATAGTAACATGGCCAATACAACTACCAAGATTGATCACTTAAGGCTAAAGAGGCGTCCCACTACATGTCCACAACACGGTCAGGGCAATGGCTGCTTCATGGCTCGGTTCACCTTTGCGTTCCCTGGCATCAATAGGTGGGCCAGCCAGTGTTCTTGACGGGAGGTCGCATGTAAGACCAGCTTGTGAATTGTTTGGAAAGATTTGTTTTGAGAGGATGATCTTTTTGACATCCAGGTTCAACAAGTCTTGTAAGGCTTTATCCCTTTGCCTTAGGAAACGCGCGTTTTCAAGGAAGTTGTTATGCTTACTTAAATTTGTGTGGGATCAGGAGCTATAGAAGTTAACTTGGTGGCTGTGCTGCCCCATGCCATCAAGCTATCTTGGGATCTGGCTCCTTGCCCAATCCTTTTTGCAAAGCCGCGTAGAGCATGTCCAGGTCTTGGGCCTGGCATTGATGGGTGTTGCTGGTCAATTCCAATTGACTGGAATTGATGGTTCCCATCAACTCAGCGATCCTTTTGTGAAGATGTAGGCACAAGACATGTAGGAAATGAGAAACGGACAATCGCAATACGCTTTTTCCCCTTCAGATGTCCCAGAAAGTCATTGTGGTACCTATCACAATTCAAACCCTTGTCGTTTGGACGGACTTCTTCGCCCTTGGAAAAAAGACAGCTTCATTTTGGTTTGTGTCCTACAACTCCTTGGGCAAAGATGGAATCAGTGTGGTGAAAACCACAGCTCAAAATGCAAAATCCCTAATCATTCTTGGTCTTCTTGGACTTAGCAGCTGCCTTTTTGGCGGCTGCCTTTCCCTTAGCATCCTGAACCTTAGCACTGTTTCCTGGGCCTTTATTGCCAGGAGGGGGCTTGCGCTCACTCGATTTGCCATCCTCCCGTTTCTTCTCGTAGAACCGTTTGGCGCTCCTGGAGTGGACAAAGAAGAAAGGACCCATTGTGCAAAACAGCTGTTTACTAGATCTTCTGTATTCCCGGTTTTATAGTTGGTAAAGACATGGAATTCCTATAGTTCGATTTTCTGTGGCATGGGTTGAAAGCTCGTCACCGGCTTCCAGGCTCTCGCTTTTGACTCGACTGGAGCAGTCCTGGCTTTCAGCTCCAATCCGGCAGCTCGGGTGCACCTTGCAAAGCACGGCCGTGCTTTTGAGTGAGCGAGTGAGTGAGAAGAACATGAACTTTGTTTCCAATCTTCCCACAACATTACGGCAGGAACACGCCAGTTCCTTCCTTCATTCGTTTCTCTGCAAGATCATAGAACCTGAAGTCAGGTTGTTTACAGACATGTTTATAATTGATGTTGCTGTGTGTGCTTATGGATTCACCGCATTGAAAAAATTGTATCCAAACCAGAAACTTCTCGGTGTAGAAGCCCTCCGTTTCGCCCTTGGCCCACACTTCGTTACACTGGTCAAACTCTTGGTCGACGCTGACCAGGGCAGTCTCCAAGTTCTTGATGCACCTGATTGCTGGCCGCCCGGTGGTCACCATGATGTACTATGATATTTATGCAATTCCTCTAGAAGCTTGGCAAATACAATTTGAACAAGAAACTCTTTGCTTGCAGCATCATCGAATTTGCTCTTCAATTCCCGGATCAACGAACGGAGCTTGCCAGATTTCGAGAGAACGGAGTCTTTGAATTTCTTCAATGCTTCTTTGGTCTAGCGGCGGGGAGAGTAAGAAAGGTGAAGTCAAACAAAAGAAAAGACTGTGATTGCATGACAATATCATCGTGGTTCTAGGAGCCTACCTGGGTAAACTTGTCTTGCTTCTTAATGTCGACCTTGGTAGTCCGTTCCTTTTCATCCCGTACCGACAGTGCCGCCAGCTTCCCGAACTTCTCTCCGCCAAGGTTGAACTCTGGGTCCTTCTCAGCCTGCCGGACAAATATGTCATTTCTATTTTTTGGAGATCGTAAACAAAGCTGCAGACAAATGAACCTGCCTGTGAAACCTTCTGATGCGTTTCCTCGAAACTCTGTGACTCTTGACGTTTCCCTGTCTCGCGAACGACGACCCAAAATTCTTCTTCTCCATCATATTGGTTTCTCCTGCACGAATCTTACGGTGTCGAGGATCCACTTCTCTGAATTTGTGTTGAGCTAATTAACTCAAAAACATATATACAGTATTATACAGTAGATGTAAAGCTCCTACAGTGGCTTTCACCCAAACTGCGACATTTGGCAATGGCGCCGTCGATGCGTGACCTGCCGTTGATGGTTCACCAAAAATCACCGAAACACCTGATAAATCCTGTACTCTAAGTGTGAAGTGTGCGACACAAACTATTACCAAGCATACCTGAGCTCCCTACCGAGACCATCCCAGGGCCACCAGCTCTGACTGCGAATACCAACCCTCATCGACTGTAAGCTCCACCTGCTTCTTGTTGATAGCAACAATCAAATGGGCCTTGAAGTCTTCCTGAACCAAAGGTTTTGTAGGCGGGGCCTAAATGGACAAAACCTTGTGACCAGTGGTGGGAACCTAATACTATCATATGCGATAGGCTCCAAGTGCATACAAGGGTCGCGGTGGAAATTGCAGTGCGCAAACAAATCAGCAATCGCGTTTTTGTCCCCGTGTTGCCACTCCCTCTTGAGAAACTCGGGCGCTTCAAGATCTCCCCTTCTTGATTTAGGTTTCACCCACCTCGCGAGCCTGGCCTTGCTTGCCAATCGAAGTTGGATCTGCAACGGACATGGCAGAACTGTGCATGAAAGTCCACACCTTTAGTTGGGTATCGGTATAGCTGCAAAAAACAACATGATTCGCTTGTACATCTCAGGAAATGCGCAGAATGCACTCTGGAGACTGGAGCGCCTTCCGGCAAGGTGGAGGTGTCACGCCACCCGGCCGCACACTCTCAGTGCCAGAAGAGTCAGGTACTGTCTCAGGTGCATTGGGTTCAGATCGAGGTTTTTTGGGGGGAGGTGTCATTCCAGCACCATCAACTTGTGACGGTGATCGCTTATGGCCAGCATCAAGTGATTGGTCATGGCATTTGTCCTCAAACAATTACAATGGCACCTACTACGATATTGCAGATTGAAAAAAAATATCTCATTTGCAGCTGGAAAACTCTCTCTCTAAAAAGAGCAAACATGTCCTTAATCTCTTCCGCAGTGGCCTAGGGTTTATGTGAGAACCATCAGTGATTGATTTCAAACCCGCGTCGATAAGGACTTGGCTGGCAGCGTCTCCTTCTCCGAGATTGGCGTCGATGGCATCTCGACCTTGCGGTGGGAGTGAAATTGATCCTTAATGTGTCACCCGAACCATGAACAAAGGCATGAAAATATCAATTTCCAAGACTGGTATCATAATAACTTGTCAAAACTGTGTTCCAAGATTTCTACGGGGGTCTCCTGGTCGTGATCCAAGAGAGCAATCTCATCGTCAAGTTCCTGTGGTTTAGTGATGACTCAAACAGCATAGAAATACCAATTCTAGAATATATACTAGATTTGTTCAAAGGAAAAGTCCTGAAGCTCTTTCTTGAGAAGCTGTTCATCAGAAAGAGACTCAATGTGGTTCACGCCATCCGCCAATGTGCCGCAACTCCAGCGCTTGGAAGCCATCTCTTAGATTGCCACAAACGGGCTCTATAGCCCACTCAACGGTACTACAAAAAAGGCTGCCGTATCATTCCAATGGTTTGTCAACCCTATCCACCGGCAACTGTTTCATGTCCACACTCCACGAAGGACATGTTAAGTCATAGGAAGAAAACGCAGACTGTTTTGCCCATTCGAATTTCCAACAGTTGATGGTGCACGAAATCCCGCTTGAATCCAAGCAAGGCTGCTAATTGTGGTGCAAAAAGTGGTTCTGAGTCGATGGCTTTAACCCGTAATTTTTTTTATGGGTTACTATGGGTAAATTATGGGTTTAGTATGGGTTCAGCACGGGTTAGGAAAACCTGATGTTTTCACCAAAACACGAGGTTTTCCTACCAAAATAATGGGTTACTATGGGTAAATAATGGGTTTGGTACGGGTTCACTACGGGTTTCGACGTCGACCCTTTCTTTTTGGGAAAAAACTATCAAAACATTGAAACAATCGGTCATGAAATAAGATTTACCGAAAAAAATAAAGGTTCGACAATTTGGTGGACTCTTACAGGGCCCAGGATCCCCTGCACTTCCGATTTAAAGCTCGCTCGGAACCACTGGCCTCCATTCATCGGGGATCCGTAGATTCATATTTCCCCTCAAGTAAGTAAACACTTGGCCAAAATCAACAAACCGCCAAACATCACTTGCGTACCAGCCGGGCGATTGAAAGGTTTCAAGGGCTGGTGGAAAGCCGGCCGCCGGCTGCTCAGGTTGGCCTCGGGCCGTCGCCTTGTGGTCGTCGATGAGGTCAGCCATCAAGCGTGCGAAGGGAATTGGATAGACCCTGGGCGTGCGAGACGTGATTCGGATAAAGAATCGAAAAGTATACCAAGGCCTTTGTCATTCACTGGAAAGGAAAGCAAGTAGAGAAACATGAAGTCTGAACGATCGCCTAGACACTCTGTACCACGAAGATTCTCATTTCCCTTATATCTCAACTGTCCAGCTGCATCACGATATCGATCGGCGCTCTTCTTTTTGATACGGGGATCAGACTTCCATCCCTCTAACTTGCCCATATCAACACGATGAATTTGAGCACTGTTCGCAAAGGCATAGTGTCGTTTTGGCGTGGAAGATCCAAAATGGCCCATCCACCATTTCACCATATGGACCTTACGGGTCGCTCTTGCGACACAAAAACTGTTCGAAAGACATGTGGCATGTGGCATACTGTAATGAGTTGGTCTTATTGTACATGTGGTTGTTGTTTTCCTCGTGATCCCAACCACCAATTATAGTGCCCCACGACGAAGTATGAACTAGGACTCCCACCGCATGAGCACCGCCGCTTTGGAAAATGCTTTGCAAAGTCTCACGCCAAGCAGGGTAAAATTGCAGTAGTGACCCAGACGGTTGTTCTACCGACCAAGCTCCTCCCAGCGCTGTTGCTAGGAGCACCAAACAGCAACTCCTCCAGGGGATGGAAAACATCTTGCCAGTCCCTAAATTACCAGCAAAAGATATTGTTGTCAGAAGCATTGTTTTGAAGACCCAACTCCTTTCCAGGAGCTGATTCCCAACTTGGACGCTTTTGTATTCCGAAAAGCCGGTTGAAGAACATGTTGAACGCTGGGAGGTGCCAACATTCATCTTGGAAAAGGAACTGCATTTTATACCAAAGTGGCATCCAAATCCACCGGGCCCCGGAACCGTTCTGAGCAAGCAAAGTATGGCTAACCTCAAAAGGTAGGACAGAAGGCGATGTGCATCCATGGCACATGCAGAACGACAGGGTAAAGAGACTCTTGACAGGCAAAGCATCAAGTGTGTTCAACAAAGGGGCGCAAATCCTGATGCGTGGGTCAGGTCCATGAAGTTCGAATTTCTGTGAGGGGGCTGGTCATTGTCCAAAAGGTCCAGGCGTGCACTAGCATATTGAGCCGCCACCATGACCTTCGTCAGGTTGCCCTCCCCCGCAAAGTATTCTATCCATTCATAAACCTGCCACGGTGCTGGGTGATGTTTCTTGAAGTTTCCGAAAGAAGAAGCGGCTTTGCAGGATCAAGCGTGCCTGCGGTGTATCATAGCTCCAAAGGCCTGCTCGGGCAGGTTTTTGGCGCTGATTCCCATGTCATGTCACAAAGTAAAGGTTTCCTTGCCTTCGGGGTTCGAAGCATTTTCATGCGGTACACCAGGGCGTCCAAATCCAACATGCTTGGCAAAAATGAACAATAATGAAACATCCTAAACTATGAGAAACCATGCATTGGCCAATCTTGTATGTTTGGCATAGTCTTTAAGAAATAGAGGTGTAGCTGTGACATACAACTCCATCAGGTATTGTCTTAGGGCATGATGGCATCGGATAGGACGCGCGAGTATCTTTTGCTTCCACGCTTTGTTCCATGCAAGATCAAAACACGCCTCAACTTCAATATATAATACTGGTAAACATCTGGCAAACAATGCAGGCGGTACATTTACGAGATTGTTGCTCTGCGCGAAATTGCCACAGGCTTCGCTTCTGCTGCCGAGACCGGGGCGGCATGCGCCATTCGGCATTGACCTCATTGAGGACAGAACTGCAAAAGGAAATTGAAACTGAGAGTTGGGTAGTGCTCTACAGAGGCAGTGAAAAGCACCTCCCTGGTCTCAAACAGCTTTTGGCTTTTGCAAGTTGATGTCACGACTCCAAAACACAGTACTCATTTGAAAACTTATGATTTCCGTTTCCGTGTGTTCAACTCGACCGTACTTGTTTGGCATTGGGCATGAACATCAAAAGAAGCTCCAACCGATTCACCAATTCTAGCAAAGAGTCGTTTATATAACTCATGGAAAGCAAAAAGCGGCTCAGCCTGGAGTCAGCCTTTTTCACTTCAACAGAACAGATGGTCTCCGGCCAGAATCCACACTGCGCATGGAATGCCAAAACACCTAGAAGATGATACTACAGTGTAAATCAATCTTTATAGTGCATTGTGAATAAGCTGTGCATTCCTTCAAAAGTCTATAGCTGCGCTAAGCTGGCGATTGTGCGCTACCCTGGTGTCTGTAGATGTTTTCATCTGGACACCCCCCAAAGACACATCGCTGGCGAACAGCTGTATGCGCAAACGGCACCCCAACGTTTTGGAAATCGATCTCATTTGGATCTTTTTGGGTTCTTCCCAAAATCAAAGCTCTTTGCAGCCTTCTTGGCAGCCTTCTTCACTATGGGGATCGCCTCCTGGATTTCTTCGTAATCGCGAAGTATCTTGGGATTTTCGTCAGTAGCCACCAGCATGTCCGCGTACTCGGCCTCAATAAGAATGTCTAACAGGAGCAGATCAAGGTTTTAATGAACGAATGCAGCAAACATTTCAACGCATCACGCAGCAAACATTGCAACCCAAGCAGCAATCAGAGCAGCAGATGCGAAAGCAGCTGCCATCTTGAACTCTGGGGAAAGCCCGGGCACCCCACAAGAGAAGGTAGTCACATCTTTCCCCTCTTTCAAGCAGCGCAGGCCAAGTGCGGAACGAGTCCAGTATTGATTGGCAAAACTGCAAGTCTTACACTTGTGCCCGGAAATCTTCAACTGCACCCAATCCCTTTGTTGATCCTTTGGTACCTGGTGGAAAACCTCGTAGAAATCACGAAAAACCTTCAGGTACTCCTCTTCGTCCTTTGCTTTCTGCGTTTCCGGTTCCTCCTTTTCCTTGCGCCTTGGCGCAGTCTTGCGTCTCCTTGTTTCTGGCTCCTCTTCCTTTGGCTTGTCAGGGCTCTTCACCTTGCTTCCACCAGTTGGGTTGCCTTCTTTGTTCTCACCCCGAGTCTTTCGCTTCTTGGTAAGTCGTTCTTGCGGTTCTTGTTTCTCCAATTCAGCCAAGTATTTTCGGGTCTCTTCAGCCTCCCAGTAAGCTACACTGTCCCAAACCCATTGTTGAGACTCCTGACACCAATAGTATCCATCCCACTCATAGTCGCTTCCCCATGGTTTGAAGTTATCCCACTCATCATTCGGGCCTTTAGCTTTTCGAGCAGGTTTCTCCGGTTGGGGTTCTGCTACTTTAGCACGCTTTACTTTCTTCTCGGGCTTCTCCTTGGGCTCTTTTGCGCGCTTGGCACGCGCTGAGCTGGGTGTGTCATGCTGACCATCTCCCCTGCCCCTGCCCCTGCCCTTTCCTTTTCCTCGCCCTCGACCACGTCCACGACCCTGCTCATTCTCAGGCTTCATATCCAACTGATCTTGCCGTGTGACAGCTGGTTTGGGAGGCTCCTCCTGGCCAGCAAAAATATATCGGATATTAATAGGGGGATGCCTTTTCTTTCAATGATGACAAACGCAATTCAATTCAACATTTAAAAATAAAAAACTATCGCCTCATTCTCGCTGCCCGTGAAATACTTTTGGGTTGCATCCTCCTTTTCAACGCGTGTCTCTTCCTTAACGTTGGGCTCCACGGGTGTGGGGCAACCCTCAGAAGAAACAGGAATTGGGCGATTTTGATAGGCTGCCCTCCTCTCAGCAGCGGGAATTTCTGGTGAATCGGAAGGTGGCAAGCTGTCTGAGGGAACTGCAGCTGCCAAGTCGGTGGGCTGTGTCTCGACGTGCTCTGGGTTGAGTGCTGTTGCTTTACCTTTTCCTGCCAATACTATCGACGATCGATCGGTAATTATGAGTACAAGTATTCTCGATAGTGACCTCTAGCAAATATCCAACGCAACACTGTCAAGTGAGACGCCTGAAGATCGTGAAGAAACAGAAGCCGCTCGCTGAGCCGAAGCATCCTTCAACTCGGCCTCATTGCTGGGAGCCTGCTCTCTCGCCAAAATGATCCTGGGCAGGTGGTTGCTCCACGACAAAAAAGGAACACAGAACCATTGCGAAATGTATTGGCCCAACCCTTTTGAGGATGATTAGTGAAAAACAATTGATGACCCAGGGGCTTGCTCAACTTTGCTTGCAGCTCTGCCCGGCGCGCCAACAACTTCTGTTTACCTTGGAAAAAAAACATACCGTTTTTCCATGGATGGCACACATTGCATTCAATTGAAGACGAAAGAACTTAGATCTTCAAAGGTGCTGGACTCCGTCGGTTGTGATGAGGTAGTGGCTGCATCAGGCTTGGCCAGCGCTGGCTGTTCAGTCTCGTTCGGTTGGGACACAGAAGTTGAAAGCAAAGTGGGTGCGGGTGCGGGGTTGACCTCCTCGACTGTCGGGACTGGCTGTACCGTTGTTTCTGCACCCAAGTCCGGTTGGTTACCTCCAGACTCCGTTTGTGACTCACCGAACTGCTGACCCTGACCTGCCCCGTTTCGGTCATCTCCCAAAACGACACCACTTGTATGCGCTGCTGTGTCCGGCGCTTGCTCCCTCTCAATGGTTGGCGCGGCAGGGGGGTCTGCTACAACCTCATCGTTTTCCAAATCCTCCTCTTCCTCGCCCTCCTGCTCCCACTCGTCCTCATCCTCATTCTCATTGGTGCCCTCCTCACGCGCTATTTTGTAAAAGCCCGGCACGAGTTAGTAAGATTGCAATCATGGCTTTCAGCAGTAAAGACTCCAAAGTATGTGATATATGCATGTGTAAAAGCGGTTCTCGTGGCAGTCCTGTTTTTTTCTTTTGGCTGCCAACCTTTCGTTGATAGCATCCACCACTGCCTGAGCAAGAGACATCACAGTACAACATTTGAATGACCGTTTTGGTGAAGCGCAAACGATTATAACATTCGAGCTTGCCTGGAGATCCGGGTCAAGCTCAAGACACATGTTTTGGAATTCTGGCACCTCACTTGCCAAGGCGGATAAACATGGTGCCATGACACTTTTTGAACAACAACCCAAAAAGAATACGATGATGTTGAACCGAGTATGATACAGGCAAGGCGCATTTGACACTTCTTGTCTACGGACCTTCATCTTGATGAATCCAAGTAGCTTCCGGATGCGCCAAGATAGCCTGAACACTTCAGCCTCATCGTCCTTCGATGCGGGCCTTTTGCACAACAAGAAGAATGCCTGAACTTCCGAGCGCAAAGCATCTACTGCTGGAACCGGGCGTGTCCTCGTCAAACTCATTCGTGTGAGGAAAGGCCACAAAACAACCTGTTCCTTCACACAACACCCTATGTCTTCCGTGGTTGAGTCTGCCATCAAGTACCCTGAACTGCGCATCCGGTCTCGGACCAGTTCTGATGAATCCCATTCTTCGGAAATCCTTTCCAAGTCCAATTTTTCTAGTGGTTGTCTTGGTCTCCCCTTTGGCCTGGCTGCTTTGGAGTCGTCCGGCATGTTTGTCACACGCTCGCTCTCCACTGCTTCGAACTTTGACACCCAAATGGCTGCGGTGATTCTGTCTATAAGGGTTCACCTCAAGTACGAACGCTAATTCTACAACCCTAATCATTTTGATTGAACTTGAATTTTTGATGATGGCATCAGTGATGGCATCCAAGCAATGTTGTGATCCATACTTGCGGCAGGACTTGCAGAAACCAAGGGCCCGACACTGCTGTGGAAAAGGTCGCAGAAGCCGCTCCGGGCATGACATCCCGAAGAATGTTTCTAATTTTTCTTCAACACACCTTTGATGATGCCATGGTGGTTGATTTGGCAACGGAATCCGATGTTCTGCCTGCATTTGCATAAACTTGTTTTTCAAAAACGGCGGAGAGTACCTTCCATGACTCTGATGCTTTGCAAATCACCTGAAGATTCGATACTTGGACCTCGCGACTGGGACGATGAGGCTCCACAAACCACACATGAGTGCACCAAGGTTGAGTTTATGAAACTCTGGGTGCGTAGAAATCATCAAAAGAAAGGGTTTCCATGAAAACCCGAGGTTTTCTCTCCATACACGATGTTTCAGCAGCATTTCTTGGATACACGATGTTTCCAGCTCGACCCGACAAAATGAAAGGGTCTTGAAGCAAAGGGTATATATATATGACGGTGGCTCCAAA